CAACGCAGAGGCTTGGAGATTGGCCAGAGGCAAGCTGAAGGACAGGAGGTTGAGCAATCACGACACGAATTTGATTGATGTTCTGCTTTGCCGCTACTACTGTCTTAATGGCTTCACAACAAGTGGTGTAGAACAATCTTTTTCTAGCTTTGTTCGCACATTGGGTGACTACCGCGTGCATATGCTGCCGTCATTGCAAGAGCATCTCCTGCGTGTGGTGCTTGCAGAAGATTCCACCATGAACAAAAAGTTCCTGGGGACATGTGAGAAGATGTGGACGCTTCGTTTTCATGAGTTTCGTAAAGCCATAAAGGATCGCTTTCGCAGCGAGCCAAGTGGTGACAGCAAGCAGGCTAGGACAGAGACATCCTGGCAAACCCAGAGACGCTCAGCGCTGCACGCTGCTGCTGCAAGCTCAACTGCCCGTGCCCCAGAGGATGTCTTACAGGACGCAGCTGCAATTGGTCGACAGTTTTGGCAGCCTGGGCATGATGAGGAGACGCAGGTTCTGCAGACCCTAGCAAAGGATGCCAAAGTTCAGGCTTATGGTCGCAACCATCTGCTTCAGACAGAAATTGGTGCGAACGAGGAGGCCCTGCGCCAGGATCTGCAAACGTTGCAGTCCAAACGGAAGAAAGACGAAGATGAGCACCGGCGCGCGTTCCAGAAGATGCGCCGTTTGGCCCAAAGGCCTGACATGGTTGTTGACGCCAGCCTGTTTCTGCACCTGGGGGATGCACCGGCAGATGCTCTCGAGGACCTGGCGTCAGCAATGATGCGCCAAAATTTCTTTCTGTCTGATGAGATTCTTCCCAGTGATTATCATGTGGTTCCGAAAATTGATGCAGCTCCCTTTCAGGCTCGACTCGCTGCTGCTTTCTGTGGCAGCGCCTTGTGCAACATGATTTACATCATAAGTGGTGGGAAAGACGGTACATGCGTTGCAAACAAGAGGGCTCTGTCAACGCAGCGGCGGATGTGGCTGTCTGAGGAGTTCTTGTTGGAACAGCCGGCAGAGGCGGATCTTGTGCTCAATGCTGTCAGCATGAATGGAAGCAGCTGGCGAGTTGTGACAGAAGAAACCTGGTTGCATCACGCTCTGAATGGAGCGCCCATGAAGTTCATTGCTTTGGTGTCCAGGAGGCAGAAGGCCCGACAGTGTCAGGTCAAAACTCCATGTTTTTTAAAGACAGGGGTTTTCAGTCTTTTGATTTCGGTGGTTGGCTTGGGCTGTCATTGTTCGTGTTCACAATAGCTTTCAAGGCCAGAGAGGTCAGACTTTTGGTTTCTGAGCTTAAAATATCATGGCTGCAGCATGGCAATCCCGTCCAGGCATCAGACTACAAGGACATCAGGACTGCCATGGACCTCGAGTCATTCCTCTCATGGATCTCAGTCGTAGATGCTGTCAGATGCGCGCACGGTGCTGCAAATCGCTGAAAACTACTTGATTGGCTGCCAGCTTTCAAATCCAGGTAGCAGGGGTCAGTCAGGATGATTCATAGAAGTTTTCGAAAGCCTTCCTGATGCTGATGCCCTCAAGTTCCCTTAAATACATGCAGTTCTTAACAAAATGAGCTTCAGCATGATGTATGCACTGCCAATTTGAGCACCAGTGTATGATCTGATTTGCGCCAGGCCAGTGGTATTATTCTCACGCTGGCCAGGGCCCCAGATGCAGCCAGATTTCGCGCCGTCTATGCATAGACTGACCTTCGTGAGGCAGGATGCAGGTTGAGTTGAAGCACTGGGAGAGTGCTGTTGAGTTTGAATTCAAGTTGAAGCACTGGGAGAGTGCTGTGAAGTTTGAATTTGAGTCGTGATGCTTCATGATGCATTTGCAGCATTTGGGCTGCTCTGATTCAAGCTGCGCAACAGCA